CGACAGACGTGTCAAATTTGACAGACAGCGTCAGCTACGGAGTTGGCTAAATGGGAAGATTCATTTCAGCTGTCTCGGAGTTGGCATTTTTAACAAGCCATCAGTTTAGGTCGGAGTAAAAGCACTGCTGAAGTCTGGGTTAATGAGAGCTGGGCCCAGGTTGAACTTGCTGACTCTGAAAACTTCTCAGTATGGGACCCCAATTACTGTCACTTTCTGTGCTGATGCACACTGGACAATTCAGGACGGCCCCTGACCCCTCCCCTGGACTTAATCAGTACGATTAATTGTTCTTCTTTTAGAAGTTGTCCAGTCATTTGCCGTTATTTTAAACACGATGCTAGTACAGGCCTTAAGGATGTGCTGGCAGTGATGCGGGTTTTTTGGCGTGCGGCTGCCATCTGGTGGTTAGAAAAGAACTCCGCGGTACCGGAAAATTAAAAGTGATACATTCTGCTTTCTTTTTCTTTGGGATAAAGATGGAAATTTGAGTGTTTGACTAGTACAAATTAAGAAAGGTGTTTTTTTTCCAAAAAAAGAAGGGTACAAAGATGGGAATGTCCATGAGAAAATTCTGCTGGGATGTCGTGCCTTGGACAAACCTTACCCGGCAGTGAGAGCTCACATCTTAACCATGAAGTCTTCAATGGTGGGCATGCAGGATGAATTTCAGTTGACTTTCATGTCTGTTCACCTCTCGCCAGGATTCTGACAGAACTCTAGAGGAAGAAACATCTAATTATCAAGTCATTATAAAGGAGAGTCAGAGAGATTAGATATTGTGATCTTCAGAAATTCATCCAGCATCATCTACTAAAAACCAGTAATTAACCCTAAGGTATTCTTTGGGGGGGCAGGTTGAGACGGGGTTTCTCTGAGTAGCCTTGGCTACCAGGGAACCAGGCTGACCTAGAACTCACAGAAATTCACCTGCCCCTGCCTCTGCCTCCTCCGGAGTGCTGGGGTTAAAGGTGTGGGAAGTCATTCTTAATGGTGGGGTCTGGCATTTGTGTTTTGCTTTGTCACAAGTCTGTATAAACCAAAGTGGCACAGCTTGAAGAAATTGAGTGTGTCTGCATGCCGGCTTATTTAACTCATTTATTTCCTCTATGATTCCTTCAAGTTGGGGTGAAGAAGAATTGGAAATTGTATGTAAATACCTATGGGTGTGAGAGGACATAAGCATCTCTTTTTGTCATCAGCAGATGATGTATGAGAAGTCCTCCAGACATCCTCTAGAAAAACGGAATTTAGATAAGAGCACTCAGAATACTTGAAGGGACTCCGTGATCCCAGTTTGCATTGTACCAAGGCTTTCACCAGCTTCAAAAGGTAGCTTCTTCCCCTGAAAATACGTTCTGTACGTATCTCACAGCGTGACGACGGAAACGGAATGGCGTTGTGAGAGTGGAGGGCCTTCTGAAGCAGCAGGATGTAGAAGACAGAAGTATGGATGTTGCGGCTCTTATCAGCGGCAGAGAACTGTATGTGAAGGCGGGACACACTACTTCAGGTCCACAGACATCAGATGTGGGGCTGTGTGACACCTTGCTGTCCAAGGTGAATGTCTTCTCGGAGTGTTAGAGAAAGATTTGTCCATGACATTTGTTTCAAGACCGGACAATGTCAGGGCAGAGGAGATGGCTTAATGACAAGAATGCGATACCCAAGTTTGGAAAGTCAGGCATGGCTGCGCATGCCAGCAACTCCAGCACTTTGGAACTCCATTTGAGGGCAGAGACTGACAAGAAGCTCTTTAGATCGTTCACATTCAGTGAAATGCCCTGAGGAGAACTGTAGAAGAAGACACTCAACATTCTATAGTGGGGGTCTAGGACAGGCTACCCTCCAAAGATGTACCCTCAGTGCCCTTCCTCCAGCTGGGCGTGTAGGCCAGATGCCTTGAAAATAGTGCCACCTGCTGGAGACATGGGCTTAGTGCATTATTCTTTGTGAGGACTATTTCATATTTAAATAATAATATTGTCTTTATTTTAAAAACACACGCTATCATCCTCTATTTAAAAGTATACTTTGTTTTATCTAATTTTAAATAACAGATCCATTCATTTTTTTCTTTGCTGGGGATCCAACCCAGAAGTTAACGCACGTTAGCAAAAGTATTACGCCATGAAGCCATATCTCCAGCCCTGTGTTTGGCTTCTATATATGAATATATGCATTTTATCAGCATAAACATGTAATTATCAAGCTGGGGAGTGGTGGTGAACTCCTTTGATCCCAGCACTCGCGCGCGTGTGTGTGTGTGTGTGTGTGTGTGTGTGTGTGTATATATGTGCGCGCGCGCGCGCGCACGCGCACATATATATACACACACACACACACACACACACAAATGCAGAGGGAAGACAGGGAAATCAAGTCAGGGATAAGAGCAGAGGGACACATGGGACTGGGACGGTGCTGAGCACCTTTGTACACTGGAAAGTCACACACACACTCTGGAGAAGAAGAGAGGGCAGCATCCCCGCCCCGACTTTTTCCAGCAGTTTGCACAGAAAGAAATTTGACCAAGTACATGAGTCACCACGTTCATAAAATGAGAACTGAGCAGCCACTCTGGCAGAACACCGTTTCGGTCTCTGAACCCCTTTCCTCTTGCTTACCGTTCTCACCTGAAGCCAGGCCAGAGTCTGGACTAAGTGACTGTTTGGAAGGAAACAAAAATTCCTGTCTTTAAAAGCCCATGAATGTGAATGTAAGACTTTAGAGGGGTTGAGACTTAATGGCCCTGTCTAGCTACAGTTTTTCTTTAAATGTCTCTTACCTATGACAAAATTATATGCATTCAGTAATATGAAGGGAACATTTGAAAACTGGTACTAAACTCTGGTTCAGGAGGAGAACAGACTACAAAAACGTTATTTAGACAGAGGAGCTATTTAGACAGAGGAGACGGCTCAGTGAGTGGAGTGTTTACTGTGCAAACATGAGCAGTTGAGTTCCAACTCCTGGAACCTCCACTCACCTTGTCTGCTGGAGACAGACGAATCACTGGAGTTTGCTGGCTGCTGGTCCAGCTCTGGGTTCAGTGACAGAGACTATGGCTTGTGATCATAAGGCAGGGGGTGACAGAGCAGGGTGCCTGACATACTGCTGTGGACTCTGCATGCATGCGTGAGTACCCACGGCATGAATACCTGCATATACTACATACACATTCCCTAAATATACACATTCATCAGTTATGCACATAACACCCCACACACATGCACAGCGTAAATACCAGCACACACACACACACACACACTTGCACGCACGCACAAATAAAAGATTCCCCAATATAGAGATCTACTAATAAACAAGTTCAAAAGACCATAGAAAAATCTGAAAGCCGAGTAGCAAAGGTTTAACCCTTTTGAGGACATGAAGAAGGAGTTGCCCTCTGAGGAGTCTTTCGGTATGTCTAGTGGAATCTAGAGTTTATTCTGAAGTTCTAGCTCCGTCTTTGTCATCGTGACTCACAGCCAGTCACATGTCTTTTCTAGAACGGTGGAACAGTGTCAAGATCAGCTTTACAAAGGGCAGAGAGTTGCTCTCAGCCCTTTATCCTACCAGCACAGATCCTAATTCTTCCTGTGGTGTTTCTTCATCATGTAAGAGCAGGCATAAAAATGGTGCACGCCTTTAATCCCAGCACTCGGGAGGCAGAGGCAGGCGGATCTCTGTGAGTTCGAGACCAGTCTGGACTACCAAGGGAGTTCCAGGACAGCCTCCAAAGCCAAAGAGAAACCCTGTCTCGAAAAAACCAAAAAAAAAAAAAAAAAGTCACCTCCAGGTGGCAGGAGCGCACTCTAGTAAAACAGAGGCGCCCGGGGCCTTGCTTCCCTGTAGGCCTCTAATTAAATTCTCCACTAGGGGGCAGCAACCGGAATACTCTTGGAAAAAATCGTTACAGTGTGAAAAACAAATTTCAAATTTTTCTGTTTATACTCGAGAGCAACACTCTACAAAAGTGTAAATACACATTCTAATTTTTCCCCTGAAAACTGTGACATTATTAGCTTATAAGATTTCATCACACTGACTTAATATTCAAGAATAAAACATAAACCAACAAGAGAAGAAGAAAGCAAACTTTTCTGGAGGAGACTTCCAAATAATAAGGGAACTTTTTTATTTGAAAAAATATTATTAATAATTTAGACATTCATATTTTTTAACCCAACTTATGGGTTAGGAAAGAGACTAAAATAGTGTAGTGACAATAGGACTTATTTATGGATAGGTGCTGTGTGCCTGCATCAGAAGTTCTCAAGCAAGCCCAGATTTGAACATATGCCTGGACAGAGCCGTTTCTGCTGTCCTTTTCATGACCTTACACTTTTTTTTTCCCTGCTGGAGCTATTTTCACAAGGGAATTAGAAGTGCGTGCAAGTTATAAATTTGCATGCAAACAAGGACACACTGCCATTATGACTTTCCTTACGTGCAGACACACACCATTAATTCAGTGAGGGACAATATTGTAGTTTGAGTCCAGTTACACTGAAAGCTAGCAGTGGATATTGGTTTAAAAGCAAAGCAATAAATTCACTCATGCAGAAGAAATAAGTGTCCAAAGGTGTCATAAATAAAAGGAGAGGAAGGCTAGAGAGTAGGGAAGTCCTAGGTGGTTGACTGGAAGGGGAAGCTGGGGTGGGGGCAGGGCAGGCTAAGCCTTCACATTTTCGTGGCTACCCAGCCATCTTTAGGAAAGTCTCATCTGGGCACCGTCTTAGACATACACGTATAATCCACAGATGAGTGCCATGCATTGTGACCCCTGAGAATGACTTGAATCCCCAGAGGCAAACATGGGGCATCGAGCTTCGAAGGCAGTGACAGAAGGCAGCGTGCAAGGGTATCCCCAGTGGGAGTGAGCTTGGCATCAGGAGGACCCTCACCTTCATTTCCCTGCCATCCTGTCGACAGGGGCCTGGAACCCACAGCAAAAAGAGGAAAAGCAAGTCAGACAGTACAAAGTTCAGGAAGACCAGTTTTGCTTTGTGCCCAATAATTTATTGTCCAGTAAACGTTCATTTTTATACACTTTACTTCAAGTATCTTTATGAACAACACCATGAAATAGTAAGGCCTTATCCAAGGGCACGAGAAGACGGCACTCTTTGGGAAGAAGAAAAGCTTTGATTCACACACTGAATAGCATTAGGAGTGGCCCTGGGGGCCTTAGGGGAGAATGTCCCTGGAGGATGAGAGGGCACCCTTGTTCTCAGGTATCCGAACCTGGCAGACAACTGAAAATGGCCTTGAGGGAAAATCTAGTTCCATTTCTTGTGGAGTCCATAAGCCAGCTCCTTCCTCTGATAATCTCTTGTTCTGGTGGGTCATCCAGGAGAATCCTCAGGGGTGGCAGCATCCCTGCAGCGTCTCCAGTGCCCTACCCACTATGTCTGGGACTATGTACCCACTGCCACTAGAGGTCACAGTTGTCAGTTTCTATCAATCACACATACCACAATGATGGACCAAGCTTATTACTGCTAAAACAGCAACATAAATTTGGGTCTTTATAAAGGATAACCGAGAAAGTTAGAACAGAATTGAATAACATCTCCCTGCCACATTTTCCTTTTCCCTGACTCAAATGCAGATAAAGGAAGGTAAGACGGGTCTAAACTGACTCAGTTGAAGCCTTCCTGTCGCCCTGGCAGTTAGCCAGTTTGGCTGGAGCTTCCCCAGTGCCCAGAGGAGGAGGGGTGTGTGTGAATGATGAGCACTGAGCCAAGAGGCAGCCAGTGTTTGATGATGCTCTGCTCTCTACCATAAAATTGATTACAGGTGCGTGTAGTGATGTTTGTTATCATGATACTTTGGAATATCTGCTTCACAGAGGGGGAGACCCAGATTGGAATCACACACGGGTTTCACAGAACAAAGCAGGGAGGCCAGTATAACGCAAGCAAGCAGTGCTCGAATTCTAAAGGACAATGGCGTTTAGTCACACAGCTAGTGATGCGGACACATATATTCACAACGCTAGGACACAGATTTTTTTTTGTAAATATTTAGAAGGCGTTTTAGAGCTTTGAAGGATTTGCAATTTCCTTAGGTGAATAAAGTGCTGAGAGTCACTATGGTAACCAGGATGGAGGCCACAACGAGTAAAATCAGACCCATGTGGCATAATTTTGATCGCTTGTTGCGCTTCTTCTTTTTTTTCAGCAAAGTGTCAAAGCCTGGAGTGTACATATCCCCCAACCAATAGCGCAGGTCATTGGGGTTTTCCTAAAAGAAAATAACACAGACACTAATCAGTGACCAGTCAGCGTTAGGGATAGAGACTTGGGAAGAAGATGCTGCCAGAGGCTCTGAGGCTCTGTATTCACATTGCTTTGGGTAGGGCTTACATGGCAAGGCTCAAACAGCAGGCTTGGCATCTCTAACTAAATGTCCCAGATACACTGCCACATCCTGGCTGACCATGGATGCCTGCAGGGGATTTGCCTGCCTGTATCAGAATTTGTTAGGGAGCCTGCAAAATTCCTATATTAAACTGCTGACACTTCCAAGTCAGAAACATCATAGTCATTGTTTAGCCAACTGTATGCTTCTAGCATCTTTTAAATAATGTCTTTAAATCAGCTAAGTGGGTTGAAATACACAATTCCCAGCTTTAGATGAACCCTGGAGGTTTTATCTCAACTTTGTGGCAGGGATAAGAATTTGTTAAGTTTCAGGAAATCCCAACTGACTTCCATGAAGGAAGAATAAGGCTAGGTCTGAAGAGTGCCTTCCATGGCAGAGGTGCCATACATCTTCCAAATAGAAACTCAAGATACATGGTTCATCTTTCCTTGTCTTAGATCCTATGCACATGGTGTCTCTGTCTCATTGGTTCCACCTTCTGCTGGGTGCCAGAGAATTTTCTTTTAAGAATTCTGCTCTCAAGTGCCCAATAAGTTATCTATACACTGTATTATATACTCTTTGAAAAAAATTATCCTCTAATCTCTAACTAGTTTAGTGTTATCAGTTCTCTGTCTCATAAATTAAGTTTACAAAGATAGTTGAGTTACCACTTTCACATAGAAACTGCAAGCTTCGTATTTTCTAGCATGGATGTTTTGAAAGATTTGAAACAGGCTATCACCCTCAGTGGTTTTAGTGGACATAGTGATATCACAAAACCAATTTCCTGTAGTTGGCAGGGTGTAGGGTCTCTGAACTAATCAGACTTGGGGCTGTAGTTGTAGGAGGAGCATGTACATGCCTACAGGGAGCCAGGAAGGACTTGGCAATGGCAATTTCCCTATATAAAGGTGTAAGTGGGTTTAAACCACCTATTCAGACATGCTAAAGAATTACAATTGAATTTGGAAAGCCTGTGCAGAAGGATACTGACATGAAAACCCTCATCTGCCTTCCCCTTGTTTTTTCATTTTGTTTGTGCTCCAATCAGAGGCCTGCATGTTGCAAATTTAGTGATTTAAGATTTTACACCAATGGCTTCCCTAATGGAGACAATCCTCTCCTAAAGTCCTGATTCTGCTTGCAGTGGTTGGTAATTAAGTGTATCATTTCTTTATCTTTTGTGACTTATAACCCAGCAATTTAGAAAAAAACTAGTAATATATAAGGCACTTGGAACATATATAGTCCATATTGGTATCAAAATTACAAAAATTATGGGGCTGGAAAGATGACTCAGCAGTAAGAGCAATGTCTGCTCATCCAGAGGACCTCAATTAGGTTTCCAGCACCCACATGACTGTTTACATTTAGGTAATCTGTAAGTCCAAATTTAAGGAGACCTGACACACTCTTGTGACTTCAGAGAGCACGGCATGCATATGCTTCATAGACATATGTGGCAAAACAGGCTAAATACCGGACAGGTAAAATAAAAAATAAAGGTTAAAAAAAGGTTACAAATTTAAGTCAGGAGCCCGGTCTGCTACTTTTTAGATAAGGACAGAGGTGCTGACAAAAGAAGTCATGAACTAGAAGAAGAAGCTCTGATGAGTGGACGCATGGCTTCCTAGAAGTTTCTTCTGGAAGTTAATACAGAGGAGGCGCATCCTGAGGCCTGCACACAGGTGAGCCAGAGAATACAACTGCTCTGAGAAGTGTGTGTGCACAGAGGGCTAGCTAGATGAAGGACTGGCAGTTTCAGTAACAGAGCTAATACTACATTTCTGTTCGATCTTTGTAAATATAATTTTTTTAAAAAATTACTAATTGACCGTGATCTTCAATTTCCTTAGTCTGACATCCAAACAAAAGTAAACAAACAAATAAATAAAGCTTTTGAGAAAAAGTTAATTTCTTTTAATTGGCAGATAAAAATTGCAGTCTTTGAATCAGGTAAACAATTTCTATTTACTCAGGTCGATAGGTTTGTGTGCAGGAAGGAATGCAACAATCATTCCCACCACCCACTTGTCACCTAAGCACACAGAGGAGGCAACAGAACTGGCCTTAAGGCTTGTGCCCAAGAACAGGGTTCAGCTTGTGCCCAGCAGTAACTACATGTGAAAAAAATCAATAGACTTAATGATATGAAGTCATGGGTAAGAAACACGATGTTAAACCCAAACAAAGGAGAGGAAAAGAAGTGCATTGTAGTTGCCATGGGAATGTGTGTTTTGCAATCTGCTCAGAAAGAAGCTAAGAGGGGCAGACACCTTCAAGGATGGTGATTAAGAGCTGTCAGTGATTCTAGACCATTATGTGTTTCAAGGAATTCACAATCCAGGTTTTAAAATCTGTATGCAGAACATAAAAATCTATGGCACTGCCCCCCTTTAAAAAGAAATGTGTTTTACTGCAGGTGGGGAAGGTATGAACTCGCACCAGACACACATTTTTAAATGAAGGGTACTTGGAAATGTCAGGCGTCTCTGGCCTACGGCAGGTGGAGGCAAGCCGAGGCTGGTCAGGAATCCAATCCTTTCAGACAGGGTCTTCTGTGTGTAGGTGACATCAGAAGAAGAAAAGAAAGTGGGGGAAGAAACTCTTAAGCTGGGCGAGTGTCTTCACCGCATATTTTTTCCTGTTGAAATGTTTTGTTTTAAGACCCAAGAAAAAAGACAGAAAATGTAAACCTTCACTCTTAAATCATTTCACAGGTTTTGGAATGTTAATAAAAAGGATCACTGTTAAAGATTTCCTTTCACAATGCCGGAGTCTAATCACTTCATAAATAGTTTTGGGGAAATAGAGAAAGAAATTCTCTACGTGAGTATAAACAGCTACAAGATTACAAACTAGGAAAATCACTTATGACCTTACCAACTAATTTGAAAAGCAACCTTCATCTTCCCAGGAGGCCTTTTCTCATTGCTACTTGCCTTTTCCCCTCTCTATACTACACAGATGAGATTGGCTGTGCAAAATACAAAGCAAATAAACCACCTCAAGCATTGGCTGAGAAAGAGAAATAACTTCAAGAACCAAAAGGACCTGGGGTCCTGGAGATTTTGTGTTGAGTGGGGGGAGCTCCTGTCACTTCTACAGCACCTTCTCAGGTTCACTTAGCTGATCTGACTGAGCACTTGAAGACAATTCTTTGTATACCCACCTTCAGGTGGCCAGAGAGATTTGTGTGAGCAGAATGCTTGTCATATTCCTCAATGGTCCAGGAGGGACTCTTTTTTCTCTCTTCCGTAGCTTCTTCCAGGCTTGCGTCCCCGTACAATGGGTTATTCTTCGTGACCGAAGACATGGATGGTGGAGGATTGTCAGGGACAACTGGACTCTCCCCGCCAAATCCCTTAGCTCGTTGAGAAGCGATGTTCTTTTCTGTCTGTTAGGAGATAAGAAGATAAGATGGGCTTCAGGGTGGCAGAGAGGTCAAAATAGCAGTAAAGTAATGTGTATTTGAAGAATTGTTGATTCTGCCTCAAATTCAACAGATTGAGCAATGAATTAGAAAATGACTCTGGGATCTACTTTGATCTAGAACTCTACCATTAACTGAGTTCTCTCTTTATGTGTTATCCTGCTCAGTTGCCAGCTACAAAGAAAGAGTAGTATTCTCCAATTTATCTAGCAGAATTCTGAAAAAAAAAAAAGCTTTCCAGCTCTTCTGCATTAGAGTGCAATGGCATTTTATGCTTTTTAGTATAGTCCAAGATTGAAAAATGGTACTTAATATTGTTATATAAATCAAGCAAAATAAAGATCAAAAATATTTTCTGGGAGTGCCAGATGGCTTAGCAGGGACAGGTGCTTGCTGCTAACCTGCCAGCCTAGATTTGATCCCCAAACCCTCATAGTACAAAAAGAGAATTGGATCCTGAAACTGGTACTGCCTTTTTCCTGACCTCCACACTCACATGTCCTGGCAGGCATATGCAAGTGTATGAACATACTTGCATACATGAATCAATTGAACATCGTTTACCTCTATGTGTCTGTTGTCCAGCTGTCCCCTAGAGTAATCAATTCTTGACTTTCAGAAATTAAAAAAATGATATGAAATGTAGAAAATTACACACATGATAAATGTATATATGCTTTTTCCACATGGTGTGTGTGTGTGTGTGTGTGTGTGTGTATGTAATATTGGTGACTGAACCTAAGAACATTGGAGATATATCAATAGAAATCACATCATTTTGAGTCATGGGTATGACAATCCCTGGCCATAGATCAATGGCCTCAGCATCTCTTAGGACATAGACTAAATGTGTACTTATATAAACTAAAATTATATGACATGTCCTTCTGAAATAACTTGTAAGTAGAGGAAAAAATAATAATCTCAATAAAACATTTGTGTTCTCCTGGGCATTGGGTTTCCATGGCTTTTAATGAAAGATTTATTTCTTTTATTTTTATGTATGTCTATTAGTGTGTGTCTGCATGTACCTATGTGTATCACATGTAGGCCTGATGCACACCTAGAACAGAGAAGATATCAGATCCCCTGGAACTGAGTTACAGATGCAGTGGATGCTGGGAATATAATTTTGGTCAAGTGGAAGAGAAGCAAGTGAGCTTAACCACTGAGCCATCTCTCCAGCCCCTTCCTTGATGTTCTTAATAAAAGCATTGTTCATATTTTTAGAGATCAATTTCAAGACCCTTTTTATTTTAATTTTGGTTTTGGTCTACTAAAAGTTAATTTATAGTCTATAATGTTAAGTTGTATAATAAAGTAACAAACCTTATCTTAACATTTAATTCAAAAATGAGTAGATTTGTAAGTGTTTTAAACTAACTAAAAGCAATCTGACAAGAGTTTAAGGTTATTTGAGCTTAACACAATTATAACTCTATTGTTCTCTTCAAGTCTGGACAGCTTTGATCATTTATGAAGCGGGCTCATTCTTCTGACAGACACGAACGGTCTTTGTTAGGTTCTTTTCCTGCTAGACTGCTGATTCCATATAAATAAGAAGGTTTGATAAATGAAGGAAGTAAAATATGTTGCTCAAGAAAAGTATGTATACACTATAAAAATATATGTAGGTTTACAAGAATTCATTTGTGAAGGTATCAAAACAGGCAGAGAGGTATATTCTAAAGTGGATTTTAAGCCTTGTTTCTGGGCCATATCTTGAAAAATTTTAAATATTTTCCTGAAATGGGTTCCTTGTCTCTGAGCATTCTCATGTCTGAAGGACAAACCAAAGAAAATTTATTAAGCTTTGTTATTAACTTGAACAAATCATTTATTTTTATAATTTACATATTAAAGTACTCAAAAGAATCTGATGGGATTACTGGAGATGAGGTTCAGGCACTGAGCACATGCTTACATTACTATAGATCTTGGGTCTCATCCCTGAGACAACCAAACAAATAATAACTATTATCTAATGGCAGAATAAAAATAAATACTAATTCTGGGCCTGGAAATATAGTTCAATGTCAGAATACTTACCTAGCAAGAGTGAATCTCTGGGTTCAAATAGCAGTTTGCAAAAAAAATAATAATAATTGTGGTTCATTTGTATTTTACTGTTTTTTCCAAATAGATTTAAGAAAATAAAGAACCTGTATGAGGTCCAGCCCTTGATGATATGTCTTAGGTGAAATACTAAGAAGAAAATTCAGTAAGATTTCTGTGATTTTAATTGACTAAATTGCAAAACAAATTCCATTTAAAATGTTTATTCAAAGTAATGTTTCCAAGTTTAACTAGACTTTCATTATTAAGTCAAACTTTGTCCATTTATTTTAATACTAATACTTTAATACGCAAGTAAAATACCATTTAATAAAAAGAGCTGGAAGACATATTCAGGCAATCAAATTATAAAGGTTGGCAGCTAATAGGTCATTAAAATAAGAACCTCTAAGAATATACATCAAGAGGGAATAAATTGGTGATAGGAAGGGAGATTTAGACAAAGAAATGATGAAAAATAAACAGAAATCAATGAGGTGGAAATAAGATAACAACTTGAGTTTAAAGTAAACTAAAAAATTAGAAGGTAAAAAGATTAACACTGGTGTTCAATTAAGAAACTAAGAATTAATTGCAGGGGAAGGATAGAGATGTTGTTGAAATTAGAGAAATTTATCTATCTCCAAATTACCAGAGCTTTAAGAAATGATAAAAACAAGTTGATTGATCTCAAAGAGGATGCGAGTATATAATGTAGGTTATCTCAAGAATACACAAAGGCCTTTTTCCTTCGCTGCTCTTGATATTCTTCCTTTATTCTGTATTTTGGTGTTTTGATTATTATGTGATGAGGGGACTTTTTTTTTGGTCCTGTCTATTTGGCATTCTATAAGCTTCCTATAATTTCATAGATATGTCCTTCTTCAGGTTGGGAAAGTTTTCTTCTATGATTTTGTTGAATGTATTTCCTGCACCTAAGTCCAAATGGATCAAAGACCTCAACATAAATCCAGCCACACTGAACCTCTTAGAAGAGAAAGTGGGAAGAACCCTTGAACGAATTGGTACAAGAGACTGCTTCCTGAACATCACACCAATAGCACAGACACTAAGATCGATAATTAATAAATAGGACCTCCTGAGACTGAGAAGCTTCTGTAAGGCAAAGGATACAGTCAATATGACAAAACGGCAGCCCACAGAATGGGAAAAGATATTCACAAAACCCACATCTGACAGAGGGATGATCTCCAAAATTTACAAAGAATTCAAGAATCTAGTCTCCAAAACACCAAAGGATCCAATTAAAAAGTGGAGTACAGAACTAAATAGAGAATTCTCAATAGAAGATTCTAAAATGTCTGAGAGACACTTAAGAAAGTGCTCAACATTCTTAGCTGTCAGGAAAATGCAAATCAAAACAACTTCGAGATACCATCTCACTCCTGTCAGAATAGCTAAAATCAAAAACACCAAAGGGGAACACTCCTCCACTGCTGGTGGGAAAGCCACCTTGTACAGCCACTTCGGAGATCAGTATGGAGATTTCTCAGGAAAATGGAATTCAGTCTACCACAAGATCTAGCAACTCCACTCTTAGGCATATAATCAAAAGATGCACATTCATACAATAAGGGTATGTGCTCAAATATGTTCATAGCAGCATTATTTGTAATAGCCAGAACCTGGAAGCAACCCAGATGCCCCTCAACTGAAGAGTAGATAGAGAAAATGTGGTACATTTACATAATGGAGTACTACTCAGCGGAAAAAACATTAGAATCTTGAAATTCCGAGGCAAATGGATGGCACTAGAAGAAACCATCTTGAGTGAGGTAACCTAGTGACAAAAGGACAAACATGGTATGTACTCAGTCATATATGTATTTTAGACATGGAGCAAGGTATTGCCAGCCTACAACCCTACCTGGGAAACAGGGAGGACCATAAGAGAGATATGCATGGTACCCCAAAGAAGTGGAATGAGATGGAATCTCCTGAAGGTATTGGGAACATGGAGTGAGAGGAGGGAAGAGGAAGCTTGGAGAAAGAGAGGGGGAGAAGAGGAGGGGAGAGGAGGACATGGGGGAGCAGGAAGGTTGAGTCAAGAGGACACTATAGGTTTGAGAAGAGATCTGGCATTAGGGAGATTTTCAGAGATCTACAAGGATGACACCAACTGGCAAACTAACCAATAGTGGAGAGGCTACCTTAATTCCCTCCCCCAATAATGAGACTTATAACTACTTTATATGCCATCCTATAGCCTTCATTCAGTGATTGATGGAAGCAGTGGCAGATACCCACAGCTAAACACTGAACTGAACTCCTGGAAACCAGTTGCAGAGAGGGAGGAGTGATGAGCAAAGGGGTCAAGACCTGGCTGGTGAAACCCACAGAGGCAGCTGAGCAAAACAAGGGGGGAGCCCTTGGACCCGAGACTGATGACTGAAAGGCCAGCACAGGACTGACCCAGACCCCCTGAACATGGGTGTCCGTGCGGAAGCCTCAGTAATCTATGGGGCCTTGGATAGTAGACCAGTATTTAGCCCTGGAGTACAAATGGATTTGGAAGCCCATTCCACATGGAGGGATGCTGTCTCAGCCTGGACACATGGAGGAGGATCTAGGCCCTGTGTGGGATAATATGACAGATTTTGAAGATTCCCTGTGGAGGGCCTCACCCTCCCTGGGGAGTGGAGGGGGGATGGGGCAGGAGGTTGGAGGGAGTTGGTGTGGGGCGGAAGAGGAGGGTGAGAGAGCTTGGATTGACATGGCAAGCAAGCTTGTTTCTAATTTAAATAAAATAAAAATAATGGGAAAAAAGAACACATAAAGGAAGCCATAAATAATCATATTAAACAGAAGCAGGCTTAATTTCCTACTTCAGTGAGCAAGACCGGCAGATCAGATTTTAAAATGTAAATTCAGCTATTCAGTATTTAAATGTTTTGCCTTTAAGAACTCAGGAAGCATGAAAGTTTAAAGAATGTAAGTTATAGGAGGTGTATATGCACACAGAGCTCCAGTCATGGTGACTAGCTGGATACAATCAGTGTTGGTTTCCTTGGTTGAGCACACAGGGTGTTGGCTTCTTTCAACTTGCCCTGAAATTAGTTTGGGGTCAGGTTTTTCAAAGCCAAGAAAGTACAGCAGAAGTGATCTAAGGTCATAACCAAGCTGTTTCCAAATTCTTCCACTTGATTTCTGTCACTTTCTATTTGTTTTTTGTTTGTTTGTTTGACAGTATGGACAGAAATCTGACATGGCAGGACCATAAAATAAGCAACTGGAAACCATGGGCACTGCTTGGGAAAGAGAAGCCCTCTAGTCCATCTGCTGTTCCTAAGACTTCTCATGATCAAAAAGACTGTCACTTTGCACTTGTCACCCTTGTCACCATGGTGAGCTGTTCCCTCCCTCTCCAATGCTGAAGAACTGATGGAAAGTGCAACACTCCAGAACCTGGAAGGAATACTGGAAGCCTTAGTCTTACTTGTTTTGTATGTACTTGTTTCTCTGTGTGCAAGTGCTTGTTTGTAAACATGCAAGTGCACATGTGTGCATGAGTAGACACCAGAGGTTGACATTGGGTGTCTTCCTTAACCACCCTACTTCTTATTTTTTTGAGACAAGTTCTTCTAGTGATCTTGGAACTCACTGATTCAACTGGACTGGCTGCTTGTGAGCTCTAGGGATCTGTCTGTTCCAACACCACCTCACCCTGGCACTGAAATTCTGGAAACATGCCCCTAAGCTCAGATTTTCATGGGAATATTGAATTCAGAGCATCAAACTTGAATGGTGGCCATTTTATCATCTAAGCCATATCCCCACCCCCTGATACTAGAAGCTTGAAGACAGTTACTCAATAATGGGAATCATTTGGCATAAATGTTACTACAATAATTTGGGAGATAATAATTACTAACTCTAGAAGGTACTTTTGGCAAATATGAAACTTTACCATAGTCATGTATACCCTGTCAGAACATTCCCTTGTCAGAAATTCAACAGAATGGTTAAGAGTATACATAGAGGGTCTAAAGGTGTGGTGTTTCCTAGTGTAATATCTGCAGACCCCAAACACTGAGATATAAAGTTACTTACAAATAAAAATACGAAGACAAGAAAAGTGTCTCAGCTCTATGAAGTAACTGTAGGCAAAGATTATGTTGAAGGCCTGGGTTTATAAGCCTTAGGGTTGGTGGCCTTTAAGCCCTAAATTGGAGAAATGGAAACAGGAAGCAAGCTCCAAAGGCCAGTTTGAGACCCATGCACTAAAAGTCCTCTAGAGGTCTTTTATATCAGGAAGAACTGTCTATTGCTAAATAAAGAGAATGATACTAATAATTAGTTAAATAAATTGTGTAGGAAGTAAATTGCTGACATCACTACAAGTTGAGAACTAGAGGATTTAAAACAAAATGAAATCACTTGGGCATTCTGGACAAACACTACCATCTACATTTCCAGTCATTTAGACATAAAGCTGAGAAAAACTACAAAAACAACAGACCCAAGATTAAGAAAACAATAATAGCCATAAGTCTCCAAATTCTCACCGACAAGAGTACAAGTAAGCTCTGAGACCCTCCCAAGAGCCTGGAGCATAAGGCTGTGCAGATCAGGGAGTAGGAGGTCCTCACAGAGAACAGAAAGGATCCTGCCTCACCTCCAGGGAAGGTATCTGTACAAGCACTGCTGGAGAGATTTCAGATGGGTTTGAATACTGCTCAGAAAGGAAGAAATTAGTGTACAGTAATAATCTGGTTTCTCTAAAGGGGAATTTGTAGGATTAGGATGGCTTGTAGGAGCTGTTGCAAAGCACGGTGATAAGGTAGAATCTTCAGTCTGATAGATAATCTCAGTTGTCAATTCCATAGGGAGGGCAAATGTTTAGGAATTTATGTATAGACACACACACGCACACACACACACACATGATTATATATAGTATATTTGAAATATCTTATCTTAAACAAAGGATGAGAATGAAGTAATGCTTGGCTGGACACAGAGCAAAGCCATTTCCTCTTCCATGACACACAGCAGTTGGGTTGAAACTCAATCTTCACTACTAACCTCCCCAACAGTGTTTGTGGCTTCCTCTTTGTCTTCTCCGTCTGCAGACATAACGCAGATTCTGATATTGTAGAAAGAACCTCCAGAAAGAGAATTTGAATTCTGCTTTCAGGTAAGCGTCTCAGGATTTGCACAACATCAGCATCTCAAGGGGGCAGATGTGTTACATACCCTGGCCCATTAGATTTGGGTATGCTTCTTTCTACAACATAACATAACTAACCACCACAGAAATATAATCTAATATGATATGATATAATACCACAATAGAGTACACCAAACAAAATAGACTTAGGCAAGAAACTTTGATAGCTACAAAGCTTTTGAATAAAAGTAGCATCAGCAGCTAAGTGCAATAACTACAAAATTTTATATATGATATAAAATTATGGTAACCATAACATTTAAAGCAATCATTAAAATTAAATATATCATATCAAAAATTCCCAAAGATAGACAATTTGCACAACAAAATTAATAAATCCAGTCAATTGATATCAACAGTTGGAAATGCTTTGTTTTGTATTTCATAACCTTGATAGTGTGATAGATTCTAAAGGAAAGTACATAAGCAACTTAGTTAATAATAAAAACCATCAAAAACAGATCCCAAATATAAATTCTGTAACCATTTAGACTACATTTTAGATAAAAAACAATGGAAATGTTTTAAATAATGACACAGCGAAAGTAAAATGTGGCATTACAAAATGGTAGGCTGAAGCACACACACAGAACATATGTACTAACACACACACATACACATTTATGGGCATGCACTGATACACACACATACACCACCATATATACAAAACACTCCTACATATATAAAAATACACACAAATGCCCATACTTATGCACGTAGAATAAATACCCACATACATACAAGCATATATACTCATGCATGCACATAAGTGAACACACACACAGACACAAATGGAGTGTTGATATTGAAGGAAAACGGTGGTATGGGACAGAAAAGCAGCGAAGAATGCACGTTAGAACATGAAACCAGTGAATGAGCTTGTCTGGAAATAAAGATGCCCGCTTCTCACCACTGGCTTTTCACTCCAGCGCACAGATTTCCTCTGAGAAGCCCCAGGGTTCTGAAACCAATGTGAAAGGAGTCAGGAATAGACAGAGCTCACTTGAAAAGACTCAGAGATTCAGTTGTTCACCAGGAAAACCAATTCCTAATACAACATCTTTAAGCATTTTATCACTTAATTAAAAAAATCTTGTGTGTGTGTGCTTGCTCACACATTGGTAGAATGTTTGCCTAGCATGTATGAACCTTGGGTTTGATATCCAGAGCTTCAACAACTAAGTATGCTGGTACATATCTGCAGTTTTAACCTTCAGAGTGTGAAGAAAGATGATACATCGCAGATTTAAGGCCACCACCCACCTTTGGCCAGAGACTGAGCTTGAGGCCAGCCTAGGCTACATGAAATGCTGCCTTAAAACCAAACCAAGCATCATGGAAGTAACAATATTTAGTTTTTATTTTTTCCTTTTTAAAATAAAAACGAAACAGACAAATATAACAAAAACCCAAAATGGACACAAAACTGTGGGAGCCCAGGCTGGCCTCCAACTCTTTATATAACTGAACTCCGAATTCCTGATGCTCTTGATCCTGCTTATGAGTGCTGGGATTACAGGTGTACACTGCACATTGTTGGCTCTCCAGTGCTCAGGATAAGAACCTGGGCTTCCCTCATGCCAGGGAGGTACTCTGTCTATTAACTTTTATTTCTACTTCTTAAACTCTTCCAGGAAACCAGACTCCACAGACTTTCCCTTATACATTATTTGTTCTCACTGCTCAAAAAACCAAGGTGAGGGTTGTGTTAGTTTTTCAGGAGATCATACTGAATCCCAAATTTTCTTCCTGTGAATAGCACCTGAATTTTTAGTGAAAATTTTTTGAGAATTCCATACATGACACCCGTCTTTACATCATCTCTTTATTTGAGAATTCCATACATGACACCCGTCTTTACATCATCTCTTTATTTGCTTAACCCCCCACCCAGTGAGGAATTTAATTAAGAAATATTTGACAACTCCCTCTTCAGACTTGCTTAACACCCCATTCAATATTCTTGGTGTATGGATGAATGTTTCTAAGCATCGTTCTGACAATTTCAAAATTTTATGTTTCAAAATTTTATATTCCCATTTCTTCATATTTATCAGTCTTGGCTTTTAGATCCACTCGGGCAGTTTACTGGTAACTGTGAAGGCCAGATGTTCCTATTCATCATTTGAAGCCCAGTTTACCTAGTTTCCCGAATTCGCACTTGTCAATCATTGCTTCCCTCTACCCATGACTTCAGTAGCAAATTGGCCTTGGCTATGTTACTTGTCATTTTCTTTCAGGGTTAAAAAAGATAATTTATTCGAGGTTGAATAATTATTTAGACCTAAGGGGGCCTGCGTAAAAAGTGGCCTGTTAGAAATCTGCGTTTCCTCGGGTTTTGAGTCTTAGTTGTGAGATTCCACTTGGAGGCAGTGGAACAGCCGCACCACCAAACATGAGCCGCTAGAAGACTGCTGTGTCGCAGTCCAGAAAACATCTATTGGCTGCAGATTTCCTCACAGGCCGGAAGGTGGAGGAGGGGCAAGATTTTCTGAAGCAATTCTAATTCTTCTGTTCTGTGACATAAAAAAATGAGCTAAAGGAGGAACTTTATTTCGTTTAACCAAGCAAAACACAGAAACAGTGGTAAGTGGGCGTGTGTGGAAAGCCACAAGGCTTTGAGGATTACAAAGGTTGCATGCAAAATTAAAAAATAAAAGCAACAACAAATGCCAGTTGTTATTACAGGCTGACTTATAATGGAAAAAATTGAACCCTGTATAAAGTAGAATCAATTTACATAATCGTCTGATTCTGAATGAACTCTGGATATATGTTCCATGGAGGCCACAGACAAACCACCCAGTAGTCGTTGTACACCAGGACTCAGGAGTAGTGACTGTTCTTAAAAAAAATTCTATCCAGGGAATTTGAGCACTCCAAAGGATTTAAGGACTTACAGGGGCTTGTAGGTTAGTCACAGCGTTTTTGAAATGAAATGCCCTTTCCTCTTGCTACCTGGAGTAACCCCCAACGCCATTAGCCTCCACATCTTAACACAAAAACAAGATTATCCCCCTCAGCAGGAGCCTTTGTTGATCTCAGCAGATGGAACCCATCAGCTTCATTCTTTTGTGTAAGAACAAGACCAATGTGATCTACATTAGATTGGAAGGTCTTACTCCTACGGCGGGTCTATGCGGACACCTGTGGAAGAGGCGCATCTAAGCCGAGAGCTACTCGTTTCCAAGATGGAGTGTGGTCAGTCTGTCTCCGACACTCACCTGCATCCTACACTCGTCTGTATCAGAGGAAGGGGAGTCTAACGGGGCAGAGACAAGTCTCAGGCTTTCTCAGAGGCAGGTGCACCACCCTTGCATAGATTTTATGCATAGATCTATTTTATGCATAGATCACAGCAACAGGCAGAGGTTACGTATTTCTTCCTCCGAATTAAAATGTTCTGAAGGGTAGGAGTAAACGAGAGCTACGCAAATTTGAAACAAAGACAGGCAGGCAGAGAAGCGGGGATTGGAGGGGAATGAACCGGTGGGAGAATTTGCACATCTTTAGGCAGAGCTTATAGGAAGGGGTGGGGAGGAATGAGCAGCTTCTATGTATCCCCCACCCCAAGCCTCCCTAGCACGAACAGGAAAAATGTCATGCAGAGAAAAAGAAACAAGCTCCTAACCTGTATTTATATGTCCTTAGATCTTACCTGGGAGTAGACAAGGTTTTGCCAGTGTTGTGTGGCAGGGAAATTTCCACCCGGAAATCTCGCGAGGCTAGCCTGCACAAGGTTTGAGCTCCTCATTAAAGACTTCACGTCAAGCTGCAGGAATTTGTCAGGATGGTTGTTATTGGGCAAAACAGAAAGATCCATGTCCCCTTTCATCTACAGGGGAAACAAAGCAAGCGAAGCTGGCCCTGTCAGACGCCTCCATTATTAATGAGCCTGAAGATGCTCTGGCTGGCATTTGAAACCAGGTCTCTTGGCTGCACACAAAAGCCACTTTCTGAAGGCCTCGTCAGTACGCAGGAACAAAACAACGCAGCAGCAAAGGGCATTCCCTCCTGTCTTACAACACACACACACACACACACACACACACACACACACACACACACGTGATGCTTGAATTGCACTCAAAAGGGTACATCAATTAAAACGAATAGAATGAGAAATTCAGACGTGTTGCACTTAATGGCTCTCCCCTTTCAGAGTCTAAAAAGGTGATTTTGTATATTAAAGCTGCCACATTCTCAGTATGAAAGTCCATCGCTGCGGCTCAGCACAGCCACCTGAACAGATCCACTGTGTTGATTTTGTGTGCTGTACAACTGCTTTGGCCCTGACCCCACTTACACGGCCTCTCATGTGATAAACTCGATCTCATTCGTTCTTAGGTTCTGAAACCCATGGTACACTTAGCTGGGTTGAGTTTGGCAGCTTGTTCTAAGTGAGAAAATAGCAGGTATGTGTCTTGTGGGCTGTTGCAGGAAATAAGGCCTCAACACACTGCAGTGACCCCTCAATATCCACGGTCCTTTGACTCTATCCCTAGCTACATCAATACCTATGACATTTGGTGATCCCAGGGCACATTTGGAACCAAAGGGTAGCTGGGCTGCTGAGTTCGAATGATGGCTGTGTTGTAAGCGAACCCATCTGTTGTTAAGACAGCCAAGGTCAGGGTGACTTTATGGCCAGCCTAGTTAGCCAAAAACTGATGAATCTAGTATAAGTGAGCTCTCTAGGCACAAGACACTCTAAATTGCCAACCCCTTCACCTAGAAATTATGGTATTTCAACTGGAGAAAACAGTCTTCCCTCTTGCAAAACAGATTAAAGTTAGACATATAAACGGCTTCTAACAAATTCCAATTGTTTGTTATTTTACCATCTCTGTAAACCCCTCTGATGTAGCATGAAGGCTTCTCTTCCAGAGGCAGTGTGGTTACATGTGGAATGTATCAGGAATAGATTTCAGAAGAGTGACATGTAGCTTACTAGAATAAGGATGTTCTTGAATCAAGTAAGACACTGGAGAGCATTTACCTTCTTTATAGCAAAAAAAAAAAAAAAAAACACAAGGTTATGTGAATTGACAAAAAAACTGACCCACTTATAGTGGCAAATTTAATTAAGAAGTTAATAGTTTCTACATGAATTCTTTGTACATGAAGTTTATCATTATCTTATAATGACTAATATATCTTTTGCATAGTTATAGCATATATTTGCTAGAGAAAGTAATAGGTGCTTAGTAACAACAGTTAATAACAAAACAATCAAACCACTAATGTTTCAAGAATCAAGTTTATTATGTGCTTATCATGGGCTTGATAGACTTCGGCTGCTGCCAGCACATATCTAATGAACAAGTATTTCTCAGACTGCTTTTCCTTAAGTATTCTTTGGGGAAAAATACACATCTTTGAGAAGAGCCTAACTTGCCTTTGGCTCTCTGTACTGGCAAGTGGAGACACAGAACTTACATCCAAATAGATTTGATTAGCCTCTTCCCTTAGCCAAAGTATGAGGTAGGTGAAATGAGTATTTGGTTCTTCTCTGGTTTCTTCCAGATTTCCCTGTAATTACCCCATGCATTGGAGGTTTGTGTACTGTCTCTTCATTTGCAAATTTAGTCCCAGACTCTCCACCTTCCCTCACATTCTATCTTTACCCTAAAACCCACTCCTTCTCCTTTCTTATCACCATTCTTGAAGCCTCTATGCTGTGAAGAACACTAACCTCTCCTCACACACTGATCCTCCACACCATTCTCACACCAAACTGACACATCCGCTTGCATCCAAGAGTTCCTTTCTCTTTCCTAGCTCTTGCACACTTCCTAATTGCCTGCAAGTCACAGGTGATGCTGAAACTTCTAGAAAACCCTTACTGTCTCTTTAGCAAACATGACTTTCTTTCCTTTGAAACTTTATTTATACCTTTGTCTGATAATGTGCTTCATAGTTTTATTTTAAAAGTCTCTTGTGATAGTTAATACTGATTGCTCTTTTGGCAGCCCTTAGAATCCCATAGGAGACAACCCCTTGACGATGATGCCTATGAGGTGTTACCTAGATTCAATTAACAAAGAAAGATCCACTCTTAACTATGGGTGAGGCATTCCATGTGTTCTTGACCTAGAGTGAATGCTTCCTGACTACAGATTCAATCTGTTCAAATGCCTCGAGCTCCTGTCTGCCATGACATTCTCTTCATAATGGTCTGTACCCTCTAACTGTGAACCAAAGTAAAGCCTTTCTTCCTTGTTGAATTTCTGGTATTTCATGGCAGCAATGAAACAAGTAATTAGCAGAAAATTGGTAGCAAAAGTGAGATTGTTATTGTGATACAGGTGACCTTAGACCTTCAATATTAGTTTGTAGAGGAAGATAGAAGGGTTTGGAACTTCGGGCTTACCTCTTGTACTGTGTACAAAATGTAATAGGCCATCCTGGTGGGGGCTTGGAACAAGAACGTTGAAGGAAATGCACAGGGTGTTGGCCCAGTTCATAAGGGTATAGAGAAGAATGAGGTTCTAGAGAACACTTGGGCTACATGCTCTTCAGACTATATTCTGCTAAATAATCTGACTATGTGCTTCCCCAGTCCTAAGAACTCATGTAAGGCTAAATTTTAAAAATAGTGGATTAATTTATTTGTTGGAGAAAATTTTATTTTTATTTCTTAGAAATATCCTATGAGTACTGTATTTATATCATGCCACCCCCGCCCCGCACACACACACTTCCTCTCCTTTCAATTCTTCCAACCTCTCTTAAACTCACGGTCTCCAGTCTTTAATTATTATTATTTTATACACACGCAAATATTTAAATGCAACCTGCTGAGTCCCTTTACTATTGCTCATATGTCCATGCGTTCAGGGCTGATCTCTTGGGATTGCATAATTTATTAGGGGATGGCTTATCCCTGGAGAAGACTGATTCTTCCTCTCTTAGTAATCAGCAATTCTCTATAGCTTTTCCTTTAGGGACGAGGCCTTGTGATATCTCCCCACCCACAGTGGGATGGCAATCAGAACTGGCACTGTGTTGGTCTTGTTTAGTTCTCATACTCATCATTTCTTGGGTGCAGCTTCTCTATAATATATAGAAGACACTGCATTACAGGAGACATCATGGTTCTCTGGCTCTTATAAACTGTCCATCCCCTCTCCATCATCATCAGTGAACCTTAGGTATAGGAGTTGTTTTACAGATTATCAATGATAGTTGGTCACCCCATGGTCATTTGTTCTCTGCATTTTCACCAGGTGTGGATATTTGTAATGGTGTCCATCTGTTACAAAAACTTCTTTGCTAAGGTGTGCCAGCTATACTTATCTGTGGGCATAAGCTTGGGTGTTAGGAATGCAGTTATAAATTTTGCGTTTTAGGACAGTGGCTATAGTAGGTTCTCATTTAGGGTTATGACTTCTCATCAGCCATTGGTAGTGGAATCAGTTTACTACAGAAATCAAGAGATCATCCTTTTGTGTGGTCATGTCTTCCAATTAGATAGTCTGTTGGTTACTCCCTAGGACACAGATGTCACTGTTGCACCTTTTGGGGCATCTTGTTGTTCTGGTCATTGTGCTTTGTAAGCATTACAGCTGGGCAGAGCTACTGGTTTTTCTTCCTTGGCAGCTCTCCTGACTCCTTGCAGTACGATGAGAGCTAGTCCTTAGAGAAGAGACTTCGAGGTCAGATCCAGCTCAATTTTTCCACTCCTTTGTCATAAGTGTCTAAATACATAGTGTATTTAGCAATGGGGCATTAACTTTGATTTTTGGGAAACAACCAAGGGCAATGGCAGGAGCCTCTACTGTTTAGGAGTCTCTTGTACTTCACAGATCAATAACTTAAAAGTAGGTTCCCCAATCCTGACCCCCTTTTTTTCTTCTTTTAGGATTGTTTATTTTTCTTTTATGTGTCTAAGTGTTTTGCCTATGTGTATATATAAGTGCACCATTTACATGCAGTGCCTGAGGGGG